TAGCAGTTATTGTGTGATTAATCACTCGTTACCCTGTCTGTGATATTATATTATTCGTCGAGGCGACCTCTATGCCTTCTACAAAACTAAGTTATATCACGGTCATGAGTTGTTCTACAGATGTTAAAGTTCTACTACCGCCAATTAGCAAAAAAATTACTTCCTCCCAGATAAAAATACACAATCAAGGCTTAATACAGCAAGCCTGTGCACAAAGCCCACCAAGGGGGGTGCACCAAGAGTGTTTCCCTCCAGGTATTTGGGACACTTAGCACAGAAAGGCACTCTATCGACACAGTGAAGCATAAAAATGCCGAGACAAAGAAACAGGACACAAATGACAGAAATGGAGGAAAGCAACTGCTGGATATAGAGTTCAAACCACATTTTTAAGGTCTTTAAAGAACTGTCTAGAAGCTGCCAATAAATTTAGTAAGGCCCTTGAAAAGACTGGTGAGACCGCCGATAAATGTAGTGAGATCTTCAAGAAATCTAGTGAGACCCTCGATGTTGTGATAAAGAACCAACAAGAAATTAAGCATACACTGACTGAAATAAAGAGTATTATACAGACTCCCAACAGCAGACCAGAGGATCGCAAGAATCAAGTCAAAGATTTGAAATACGAAGAAGCAAAAAACACCCAACCAGAAAAGCAAAATGAAAAAAGAATCCAAAAATACGAAGATAGTGTAAGGAGCCTCTGGGACAGCTTCAAGCGTACCAACATCCGAATTATAGGGGTGCCAGAAGAAGAGAGAGAGCAAGATATTGAAAACCTATTTGAAGAAATAATGGCAGAAAACTTCCCCTACCTGATGAAAGAAATAGACTTCCAAGTCCAGGAAGCGCATAGAACCCCAAACAAAAGGAATTCAAAGAGAACCACACCAAGACACATCATAATTAAAATGCCAAGAGCAAAAGACAAAGAGAGAATCCTAAAAGCAGCAAGAGAAAGAAAATCAGTTACCTACAAGGGAGTACCCATACGAATGTCAGCTGATTTCTCAACAGAAACTTTGCAGGCCAGAAGGAGTGGCAAGAAATATTCAAAGTGATGAATACCAAGAACCTACAACCAAGACTACTTTATCCAGCAAAGCTATCATTCAGAAGTGAAGGTCAGATAAAGAGCTTCACAGATAAGAAAAAGCTAAAGGAGTTCATCACCACCAAACCAGTATTATATGAAATGCTGAAAGGTATCCTTTAAGAAGAGGAAGAAGAAGAAAAAGGTAAAGATACAAATTATGAACAACAAATACACATCTATCAACAAGTGAATCTAAAAATCAAGTGAATAATCTGATGAACAGTATGAACTGGTGATTGTAATAGAATCAGGGACATAGAAAGGGAATGGACTGACTATTCTTGCGGGGGGAAAGGGGTGTGGGGGGTGCGGGAAGAGATTGGACAATAATCGTGCACCTATGGATGAGGACAGTGGGTGGGGAGTGAGGGTGGAGGGTGGGGTGGGAACTGGGTGGAGGGGAGTTATGGTGGGAAAAAAGAGGAACCAATGTAATATGAACAATAAAGATTTAATTTAAAAAAAAAAAGAAAGAAAAGGCAGGTGGAAGAGGGCGGGCCGTGACCAGGTAGGAAATACAGGCTGACCACAGAAAGCACCTCCTTGCCTGGATTCCTGTGTGACTCAAGGAACAGGCCATCATCACAGTGACCATTGCCACAATAGGAACAAGAACGTGTTATCAGCCTGGCAGCCAAGAGGCAGAGAGAAATGGATGTCCACACTCCAGGAAAAAGGTAGGGATGCAAGGAACTGATCCACGCCTGTTTTTCCTGCTCTTTGAACAGCTCTCTTCTTTATAAAACATTCCCCAAGTCTTAACTTACACTCTTCCTTTTAAAATAAAGATGGCAAAAGGCACTCATTGGAGCCAGTATGTTTTCTTCTGAGGAAGAGGGCAGTGCTGGGACAGAGGGATGATGTGGCAGCTCTGGGGAGGTCCCTGCGAGAGAGGGAGGGACACACACCACTAGGCGGGGCAGTGGAAGGTTGGCTGCCCAGGCACAGAGCTGGGATGCAAGGACCACAGCGCTCTGTGCCTGCACCCCAGGGACAAACAGGCACTCTGTCCGAAGGGTCCTTTGCGTTGAAGCTTTGGCTGCTTCCGCTTATTTGTAATTGACTCAAATGGTCTACATTCCTCTCTGGCTTTGGCTTGTCATTCTATTTTTAACTTGGAGTTTTACTGGTGTTATTTTCATTTGGATAATTAAAATAAACTCTAATGAGTAGAGATGCCTGGCAGTCGCCTGATTCCTGGAAGCCTGGAGGTCAGAAAGTGCCTAGTGCTCGCTTCAGTAGCACATATACTGAAATTGGAGCAATACAGAAAAGATTAGCATAGCCCCTGCGCAAGGATGACACGCAAATTCATGAGGCATTCCATATTAAAAAGAAAGAAAGAAAGTGCCTAGATGTTTGCTTCTGATACTGGGCTTCTTCCCCATGGAAGGCTATAGGATGGATGATCCCCGTGTCTCGGGTACTTGTGATTCTACATCCTCATACTTGAAGCTTTGATTTAGGAAATGCCTATTTTTTTTTTTTAGCTTATCTGGGTTTGTTTTATAACCAGAGGCCAGAGACTGATCTATGTCTGTGACCGAGGAGGCTAACATTATAGCTTTCCTTGTCAATCACGTTCTGCATCTGTGTTGGAATTGTGTGAGTTAATATTAACACCCTTCCTCTAATGCCTTTTGTGTTTACGTAGCACCAGAAACAGACTAATGGCTTCAAAAGATATTAGCCTTGCTGCCGAGCAGCTGGCCTCCTCGAGCAGGGTTCCCTGCAGCCATGCCAAATGCTCCTGGATACTCTCTCTGCTCTAAGCCACGCTATTATGGGATGGATGCTCATAACCTTCTTGCCAGGACCTACTTTCTAATGTGGAGCTCCATGCGAAACGTGCTATAAATTAGACTATGTGCATCTCACTGTTGGGTGTGTTCTCAGGGCTGTGAAGGAAGACTGTTTTAGTTTTAGATTTGATTTGCATGAGTTTTGCAGTACCCAGCAGTGTACTAGTTGCATATAGGAAATATTTAACTGAGTTTCCTGGGTCCTTACATAAATTTGACAGAATTTTCAAAGATCAGTATTTCCCAAGATCAATACAAATCAAGGGTTTGCCCCTAAATGAAAAATCAGAAGATAACTGTACACTGAATAGAATCCATATCATCTGCCATCGACCAAGATGAATACAGATGGCTCTGACAAGCTCTCATCTTCAAAAGGGGAAGGAATGGGCGGGAAACTCTTTAGAGGACCTGCTCGGCCTTCTGGTGAAACCTGAGCGCCATCACACCACAGACAGCAGGGCTGGTGACTAAGTGACATCCCGCCAAAGCACTAACGTGTGTGATTTACTAAAGGATGGACAGACATTACCCTCTGCCATAAACCCCCTGCCATGCGTCCTGTCATCCAACAAGAACCAAATACCAATCAGCGGTGACCTTCTTAATAATGGAGTCATCCTTTTTAATTGCACTGAATACTACCACTGAGAATGGTATTATTCCCATCCAAACAGTCCTTCTTAATGGTGAGGAGATGTGAGGCCAGGGATCGCCGTGATGCCCACTCCAGTTGCACATTTATCAGGTGCCTGCCATTTGCAAAATGCCAGAGCACAACAGCACTGCCTTCTTTCTTTTATTTTTAATGTTGTAATTAAAAAGAAAAAAAAAGTGTGTTTACTTACACGGCTCATTAACCAAGAAAAGAGATGGTTATTTCCATGTCACAGAGAACAAATGTGATGGCCTGGGATTCATGAAGATTTCAAGAAAACGCAAACCCCAAACCAGGAAAAACCTGATACAAAGGTAGAGAGCGACCCAGGCCCAAACCAAATTTTTATTTTGCTATTTTATGAGTCTACATTCAAAGGCAATGAGAGCACAGGGTCTCTCTCAATCAGTCCCTCTCCTCTGCCCATGAGCATGCCTCTGCCCAGTGAGAAAATCATCGCTACCACAAGGAAATTCCACGGCAACAGTGTCTTCCCCTCTGTGTTCCTGAGAAGAATCTTAATATTTTAAATTTTCATTTCTTTCAATTCTAAAGGACTTCCAGTCTGACATAACCTTGGAGATGAAAGTTAATGATATTAAACTATAAACTAACCTGAATTAAAGAAGTGATTGATGTATTGGTTAAGTTAAAAGAACACATGAAAACATGTCTTTACCGAATATCAACAGAAAAGGAACACATGGTGGGGGGCAGCGGTTCCAAGTCGTTCTAACTGAAAGACTTTCAGAGTGTTCTCTTAGGAAGCTGGTTTAAACAAGTCAACACTTACTACCACTGATAAAGTCTGTACTAACTTCAGGATTTTTACCCAAATTGACGCAACACTGACATTATAGAATGGATATAATGTTTATTTAAATGTATTCACCTTTTAAAATTTATTGGAAACTTTTATAGACCATAAGTAAAAGCCAGTATCAATTCCAATAAATGGAAGACAACAAAAAAGCATGTTATTGTTCTTTAATAAGTATTAAACTCAAAGTGAAAGAGAGAAACAAACATCAATCAGTGGCCTCATGCAGGCACCCCAACCAGAGATCAAACCCACAACCTGGGGATGTGCCCTGACTGGGAATCGAACCTGCAACCTTTCGGTGTACAGGACAATGTTCCAACCAACTGAGTCACACTGGCAAGGGCACCAGTTCTCACACTTTGTTAAAAATGCATGCAAGTGTTAAGAGTAGTGTTGGAGCCCTGCCGGTGTGGCTCAGTGGTTGAGCGTAGTCGCCATGCACCAGAAGGTCACCAGTTCAATTCCTGGTCAGGGCACATGCCAGGGTTGCAGGCTCGATCCCCAGTAGGGGGCATGCAGGTGGCAGCCAATGGATGTTTCTCTCTCACTGATGTTTCTATCTCTTTCTCCCTCCCCCTCTCCCTTCCTCACTAACAATCAATAAAAACATATTTTTTTTAAAGTAGTGTTGGAGAAATAGTAGCACCAAACTAAGCCTTTTTCAGAAAGATTGAAAGAAAATGAAAAATTAATAAACTTCATTATCTAATTCAATGTCATCTAGTGTTATGCTGTGTATCATGTAAAAGTGTTTCAAATACTAACTTGTGGCCCCAGCCCCACACCAGGGAACCCTGAGTTCGTCCACTAAACCAGTGGTCGCCAACCGGTGGTCCGTGAGGTCTGAAAGGTTGGTGACCGCTGGTTTAAGGAAACCTTTGGAGCAGCGATCGCCAACCGGTGGTCCGTGGACCACTGGTGGTCCGTGAGGTCCGAAAGGTTGGCAACTGCTGCACTAAATGATAAAGACTGCCACAGGGCAGCACACACACTTGGGGCATCTCAAGCACAAGGCAGATCTTAAAAAGTGCAAGACCCTGGCATTCAGGTATTCCCAGGCTTTCTCTTCCAAGAATGACAAGAATACTGATGGGGGAAAAGCAGAGAGAATGAGTCATTATCTCAAACCTAAGAAACACAAGTAATGACACTGTCCTAATTTTATCGAAATTGCTATGTGATTAAACAGATGAGATTGTTGTGGGCATACTGGGAGAGGAATGCTAAGTATTAGGGATGGTAAAAAGGAGGTTGGATACTTGTTTTCTATTCTTAACATAAATCAATGAAAATAATGAATAGCCCTTGAAAGTAAGAAGTCACTGTGGAGAATCTGAATTTCAATTAGGAAAGGGAAACATTCTCCACACGGTTCAAAAGATATTTGATGCGCTTCTTTCTACTTACAACCATTCAACCCTTGTTTAAAAATAAATAAAAAGCTCTGCAAACCTAAGAACAGCATGCGGCACTTACTGGTAATGAACCCAGGATGGTCCGAGAGTTTTCTTGAATTGAGCAAGTCCCACAATATCAATATAAATGAGCTCAACGATTCTGTCTCCTACGGTGGGGCAGCCAGATCGGTTTCCTACAACCTTCTTCATTATTCTAGAGAAAGGGCAGAAGAGAGAAAAAAAGAAAAACAATTTACTTCAAGGTATGATACTTAACTTTAATAGGCAAATGAACATCCAACAATCCTTACCAGGAGAATGGCATGGCTCATCCCCATCCACTGCTCATCTGAATTCTGCCCACCCACCAGGGCCCATCCAGAGCCCCGACCTGGACTCTTGCAAAAGCAAATGGTGCACAGACACAACCTTCGAAGCCCAGGAAGATACAGGTCGGAGTGTGTCTCCCCCATCCAGCAGCTAAGAGACTTTAGACCAGTTACTTAACCTCAGAATCTTTCCTTATTCTCAAACAAGCAAACAGAACCACCACGAAACCAGATTGTATAGCGACCTCTCAGGGTTCTTTTGTGGTTAAATGAGGTACTGAATGGAAAGTACCCAATGTATGCTACATACTCAGTGACTGTTAGTTTCTTACTATTCCAACCCTTACTGATCTATTTCTGAGAATAACGTCTTTCTATACTGTCTTGTACTGCTTCCAAATTTTTTCTCTTATGTGAAAATGTTCCTCCTGACTAGACTGGCACTACGGTTTACAATTCTGCATTACCCTTTGGCCACCCACCCATCCATACAAACCCACACTTGTACTTGGCGAGCCAACGTGCTTGTCACCTCTCACTTAGAAATGGGTCATCATTGAAACCTTTGATCCCTGCTACATCCCACAATGATTCTTCACCAAATTATGGCTGGACATCCTATTTCCAAGGATGGGAGCCTAAACAGGACTCTGCCCTCTAGCTCCAAACTGCAACTGCCTCCAGCACCCTGTTCCCCAGCTCGGTGCCTGATACACAATTTCTTCCCAAGAATTCGAGTATTTCTTTTGTGAAGGGCCAGCTAGTAAATACTTTCATCTTTGAAGGCCACATCTTCTCCGTGGCAACCACTCCACTCTGCCACTGTAGGATGGAAGCGATCGGACCCTACAGAAACAGTAGGTGTAGCTCCCGTGAAACTTTACCCAAAGCAGGCAGGACTAGACTTGGCCTGCTGAGCTGCTGCTTCTGACACCTGATCTTGTATTCAGTGGTTCCCAAACTTGTCTGCACATTGGAATAACCTGAAGGTGTCAAGAGACACTTATGCCTGCGTCCTATCCCCAAAGGTTGTGACTTAATTAATCTGAGATATGCTCGGGGCTTTGGGAGTCTAAAAAGGTCCTCAGGAGGTTCCAATGTCCAGGAATGTTTGGGAACTACTGCTCTATGCTATTTCCACAATTACCTTCTTAAATAAAATACATCTGTCCCTGTCACCAGTGCTTAAAGATCTTCGTTTCCCTTGACCACGAAACAAAGTCTTTACCTGATAGACCCCCAATATGTCTTCCCTGACTTCCCTCGAAGGCACCATCCCTGGGGCTCCAACAGTGTTCCATTTGTTTACCCACCCACCCACTTATTCATCAGCTTACTCAACCTTTCACTCATTTGCTCAGTAAATAGGAGTACCCACTATGTGGTAGGCACTTTTCTATGTGCTAAATAACAGTGAAGAACAATATTCATAGTTTCTTCACTTCCAGTGCTTACATTCTAGCATCCACACCTCAATTAGTACTAATCACATTGTAATTAGTGTAATTATTATGTAATGCATTAATTATAATTAGCAAATGACTGGCCTCTCCATGAACACATGCTGGCCATCTCTGCCAACCCCTTACCAAGATCCAGTCCACAGAATGCACTAGAGGAACGAGTGCTAACTGCATGAAGGCATCCACCTCACAGGTTGGTGCCCAGTGTGCTTTACTGTAAGCAGGAGGGAGGCACCAGAAGGCAGCGTGCGGAAGGGGCAGAAGGTGATTAAGGGTTCAGAAGACTTTGGGTTTATCTGCAAGGCAGTACAGCCGCAGAAAGCACAGGCTCCGAGGCCAGACACAGGGCCCCAGTCCTGGCTTTCCCACACATTCTCCATGGGACCTCAAACAACCCATCTGTAGTTGGAATCTCAGTATCCTCACCTTTCAAATGCATAAAGCAATAGCACCTACTTCCAGGTTTGTGCTAAGGACTAAATAAGATGAAAACATATAAAATGCTTAGCACCTGATGCTAATAGTCATCATGGTTGTCATAACTGTTGAAACCAATTACAATTGAAGGCCTGACCCACAGTTTCAGAATATGGAAGTCATTTAACAAATGACAGTGATATTATCTTACTGATACTGCTTCCATCTCAACACTGCCACTGGGCAGGTGTGGGCCTTGGACCTAACTGTAAACAGTAAAGTAGGAGCCAGGTGAGATACATTCACTGAACATAGATGTTCATCCAACGCGTTTCTTCTGCTAACATTTGACATATCCCATCATGATAACTTGGCTGCCGGGTGGGAAAACCTCAGTGGGCAGTTATCTGAAAGGAGTGAAGGGGCTCTAAGCATTCCTGCTTCGCCAGCTGTGTCCGTCTAAAGGAGATTAAGAGCGGGCCAGAACTGCAAGCAAGTTTCACTGAAATGGAAAACCCAGGTAGAGTTAACAGACTAAGAGCTGAACGTTGGCTAATTGAAAAAGGACTGGATCAGGGCTTTCAGGAAACTCATTCTACCCAAATTAAATTATAAACAGGAACCTGCCCTGTTTCAAGATTTTGAAAGCTTGATGTTGAGCAGGGAACGGTATGAATTTCAGCAAGAGACAGGGAGTTAGGCAGGCCAATAATGTCTTGTGCTGCAGATGTTGGAAGCACCTGCAATAGCAAAGAATAAGCCCTGGGTTTGAATTTTCTGGCATTCATTTGTGAAGCCTCTGGAGCCTGCAGCTACAATGAAAACATATTATCCTTTCACAGTGTATGTATTTAGCTCCTGAAAATAATCTTCTTATCTCCTGCTTAGTGAATTATCACTTTCATTTTCCTCCACAAGAAATTACACAGTAATAGAGGGCTTTAAGAGTTTACAATTTCTTTTTTTGTATTCTGACTTTAAAATTGAAAAGTAATCTCCTTACTCCTTGAGCTCAGCCAGCGAAGCTGAAATCCTAATGTCATGGCCCAGTAAGTACAGCGATGTAATTAAATCACTCCACTGCACTAATTCACCAAGAGGGCCGCCGCTGAATGCTGTCTCCGCAATCTTGAACCCAGACTCCTTCGTCAGGAGGCCCAGGTGGACCAGGACCTGGGAAAACAAACAAGAGGCAAACACTGATTCCACCAAACCCAGCACAACTCCACAGTAACACACGAAAAAGCGAGCAACCAATGTTAACACCACGGTTACGTTCAATGAAATCTCAACGTGGGGTAAGCAGTTTTTCAAAAAAAGTAAAAAGAAAGGAGGAAAATGATTTTTCATTGTTGTTTTAGAGAAACAACGATCCTTGGTGCAACTATGAGAATGAGGTACAGACAGATAATCCTTCTTTTAAAAAGAAGGATGTATTTGAAAAGTCAAAAGTAAAGGAGGGTAAGGACAATAAAATATCTTTTAACAGTATCGGGCTTTTTCTCACAGCTAGAATATTTTATGCTTTTAACATGGAAAATGCCAAATACATACTAAGGCAGACCTGACAATAAAGTTAATTCCCATGTGCTCATCATGTAACTCCAATCATCATTAACTCATGATAAACCTTATTTAATGTATAGCCTAATTTTCTCCCAACCCCTCTAGCTTATCTTGAAGCAAAGTCCAGACCCCATTTTTCCTCTATAAATGTTTTGATCTATAAAAAAACCAAACCTTCACTTAAAAAAACATAACATCACTAACACCCCAGAACAGCTATTAATTCTTTAATATTATCCAGTTCCCAGTCGGTTCTTACACCTCCTCAGTGTCCCTTACGTTTTCAAGTGTAGCTGTTCTAGTCAGAAGTCAAATAAACGGTAATTGCCTCATGTATTTCTTAGCCGTCTTTAACAGGTTAAGCGCCCAACCTGTTTTGTCTTCCGGACAGAAAGTATAGTGTTTGTCACCGGTGACTGATTGTGCGCTTAATGTGTTAACCTGAAGTAGTGCCCCATCAGCCTTTGGGGAAAGAGGGGGGTTTGAGGGGCTTGTCATTTATTTGTCAAAAAGACTGGGTTGTATTTCCAGTAATCTCTCTCACACTCTGGATTTTGCTGACTGTATTCGTGGAAAATTAGTAACTAGATCAACAGACAGGATTAAATCCATATTTAGTTTTTCTAGCAACACTACTTCATAGGTGGTGCGTCTACTTCCTTCCAGGGGTGGGAACGTCTGTTTTGTGATGTTAGCAGCTACTGATGATCATTCATCCATGAGGGGTGGCAGAATGGTGATACTGGCTCATTCCTTCTGCACTTATTAGTGGGAATGCTTCTGCAAGAGAAACTATCTCATATCAACCAACTACTTGGGTACCCTAAAATACAGCTTACATAAAAAAAAGCTTGGTAAGTACTTCAGTCTTTCCCTTTATTTAGCAGTTTTAAAAAAATTGTTCTTTAGTGTTCTCTAATAATGACCAAAGAGGACTTACACACACACACACACACACACACACACACACACACACACACAGGCACGCATCATTGTAAAAGTACGGCTATAAGTTTATTTGCTGTGTTTTAATAATTGTAGTTGTTATTCTAACTGATGATCACATTGTCTCATCTTGGCCAACAGGAAGCTATTCAGTTGGCTTCTAAGTTCTTTTACACAGTCCTGGTCTTTGACAGTTTACTTTCTGATAAGACAGGGTGTTTCAACCTTATCATGTACAACTCCCGCAGCAGACCTTAATCAGCCAGTTTTCTTTCTTTTTTTTTTTAAATATATTTTTTTGTTGATTTTTTACAGAGAGGAAGGGAGAGAGATAGAGAGTTAGAAACATTGATGAGAGAGAAACATCGACCAGCCGCCTCCTGCACATCTCCTACTGGGGATGTGCCCGCAACCCAGGTACATGCCCTTGACCGGAATCGAACCTGGGACCTTTCAGTCCGCAGGCCGATGCTCTATCCACTGAGCCAAACCGGTTTCGGCAATCAGCCAGTTTTCTAAGAAGCTCTGACACCATTCAGTGGGAATGGTATTTAAAGATCAAAGGCCAGTGGTAAGCACACTCTCAATCGTCACTTCCCGTAGGCCTTTTCAGTGGGCACAGCTAGAAAATTTATTTTTTCTTGAGGATAAAACTAATCATGAGTTCATACTGGTTTTTCCAATTCAAACTCAGGATTACAGTATCTTTACATAAGATTATCCATTTGACATCTGTTATTTCCTCTCCCCTACACTGCAAACCCCACTTCTCCATCAGGTGGGGGTCCCTGCTGGGGGGCGTGGCCAGTCTGGGCGAGGGGCTGAGGGCCATTTGAGGGCAGTTTGCAGGCATCAAGCCCCCGGCTTTGTCCGGAAGGATGTCTGGAAGGTCTCCGTAAGGTCTCCCGGTCTAATTAGCATATTACTCTTTTATTAGTACAGATGATTCCTGTATAAAATCTATAAAGTGAGATACATCCAGAGAAGCCTGGTTTCTACACCTGTTGTCTCTATGTTATTCTTTCCCTCCCCTTATTTGACATTATTTTTTTATTGTGGTAAATTACATATAACATAAAATATACCATTTTAACCATTTAAAAAATATGAGCAAGAAGTGTGTATGTATATTACGTAAGCGTTATATATGTATGTATATATGAATGTATCTATATGTACACATGGAGGATAGATGTACATATATAGATAAACTCTCTCTTCCCTTTTAAAATAATGTTTACTATTCTCCACCTAACATTTCTTCACCTAACAATACATCCTGGAGGTTACTGTATAGGATTAAATAAAATTACACTTTACTTCCTTTTATAGCCCACCTGGACCTCTGACCACATGCTCCTCCATGTCTGATGAACTCAAGGCCCCAAGCAGAACTGACCCATCAAAGTGCAACTGGGATCTGGAGGCATTATCTGTATTTCTTTTCGAGGATATCAAATGAGTCAAATTAGGAATAACACCAAGCTCGTTCGAATTTATTTTCAGATATAAGAACATGTAGTTTACTCTGCTCAGTTTTTCATCATCAGAACAGTTCACTTAAAGCCACCGCTGCTTAGACTCTAACAGGGTATAGGATTTCCCACGCTAAGGAGTATTCTAGATGTTTTCCAAGCATCTCCTCATAAACTTGAACAAAGTGGCTCAAGTTTAATTTATTTTCTCTCTCTCTCAAGCATGTAAGCAGAAGCACCAAACAGAATACCAATGGAACTCACCATTGCCCAAACCCCAGAACCAACAAACTCCAAAAATATGAAATTGTCATAATGATGTAATAGGAAGTTCTAAAAGGTTGTTTGTGTTCAGTAAAGAAAATAGGGTTAAGTTTCCCGACACCACTGAGAGAGACAGATCATTCAAACGAAAGTCCTTCAGGCAGATACTCTGCTTGGATTCACCCAAGAAATGTGTGCTGGTCCCTGCTAAGTGGGGTGATGTGACTGGGTAAGGGGAAACACAGAAATGATTGTACGAGCGACCGAGCAGATTCACCCGGAGGGAACAGCAGGAAGGCCTGGCATTTCTTAGTCTTGGTTCCAAGCAAATCAAATTTTAAAAGAAAACAGGCATCTAAGGAATGGAATTAATTACAAACTCACTTTCTTCCTCTTTCTCTTTTCAAGATTCTGCTTTTCTGCTAGGGACTTGATCGCTTGGATCCACGCATCAGCCATGCGCCGGATGCGCAGCCTCATCCACCGGAACTCTTCATGCTTCTTCATCATGCTGTAGAGAATATTAAAATCCGTACGAATTTCCGCCTAGAAACAGAAATTTAATAGAAAGGAGTAGAAAATGAAGTCAGAACGCATAATGGTTTGCATGAGGTGACATCTGAAAACTTGAAAGAGGTACTCAATTAAATACAGGGCTCAAAGGGGGTCTTGGCAGCGCAGCTTTTCTTTAAGGTCCCGGGACTGCAAACTAAAGCAAAGGCCTCCGACTGCTCAGCTGCCACAAGGGACATCATTTTAAAAATGAGAAACTGGGAAAGAAAGCACAGTCACCGCAAAGCCCTGAGCTATGTTAAAATGCATTTTTTTATAATGAGTCTGTTTGATGTACCTTGAAACTTTTTGCACCTGAATTTATTGGCCATTTCAATCTACTGCAGGCAGCAGGGTCCTGGGAAAATGGAAGTCAGTTCTTAGCAGGCTACCTGGTGTTGTGAAGGCTGCCAGAGACCTCCTCTGTCCACACAATGAAGAAGGGAAGGAAGCACATGTGTCTTTTCCAGTTTTTTCCCAGACCAAACAAACAAAAGTTCATTACTTTCTAAAGAATTTAAGAGCCAGGAAGAACATTTTCCGATCACAACTGAATAAAATTTAAAATTCAGGCCAGAGTCATGTAAAAGCCAGGAAGAACATATTTGTCACACAGCTGCATAGAACCAGTGATTAAAATAACAGAAAAAATAAGAACACTACTATTGGTTTCATGTAACATCTAAAACATGCTGAATCCAACTTTCAGCAGTCACTGTAGTTCATTTTAAACACTCATCTATCGGATCATGGCCCTCCCTGACTCAACAATTTCCCCTGATTCCGGTGATGAAGCGATGGGCCTTGGGCCAAATCCCCCTCGCTGCCTGTGTTTGTACATGATCTTCTACTGGAACACAGCCACGCCCTTTCGTGTACATCTTGTCTATGGCTGCCCTCTGAGCTACAAAGTCAGAACTGAGTAGCTGTGACAGAAACCTCAGGGCCTACAAAGATGAGAAGATTAACATCTGGCCTTTTACAGAAAAAGTTTGCAGATCCCTATCTGAACACTGAAGACTTAAGCTTGTGATGTGGCATATAAAACTTTTCACAGTTCCCCTAGCTACCTCTCCAATCTCACCTTCAAATATCCAAGCCTTGTGCCACTGAACCATGCATGTTCTACTCCCTAAAAATGCTGAACTCTTATACATGCCCTTCTCCTCTCACATCAGACACCTTTATCTCCTTGACCCAGTAGAAACTCATTCGTCATTTTATTTTTATTTATTTTTTCTTTAAATCTTTATTGTTGAAAGTATTACATATGTCTTTTATCTCCCATTGACCCATTGAGCTCCAGTGTCATCTCTGCAGTATCTCATGGCTGCAGGCTGAGAACACAACTTCCTCATTAATTTCACGGGTCTGTGTTCTAGCATTTACACAAGCGTGGTCACTTTTACAACCATCACCCTCATAGGTCACAGGGTGCCTCCACAAGGTGTTATTCACAGCACTAGCCTGTCACTTAGGAACCCTAGCAGAATTGCTCAAGAAATAGATGCGAACGAGTTGACTGATGGGTGTAGAGAGGTGGTTCTCAACCTTCCTAATGCCGCAACCCTTTAATACAGTTCCTCATGTTGTGGTGACCCCCAATTTCATTGTTACAAATTGAACATAATTAAAGCACAGTGATTAATCACAAAAACAATATGTAATTATATATGTGTTTTCCAATGGTCTTAGGTGACCCCTGTGAAAGGGTTGTTCGATCCCCAAAGGGGTCGCGACCCACAGGTTGAGAACCGCTGGTGTAGAGGTTCTTCAGTTTACCGCTATTTCAGATCACAGCTGGAATTTCTAGAAGACGCCACATGTATCAACTGGCATTAGACACAAATCGCAAGCCCGGTAAAAGGTTTCCAAAATCACTTACTAATGAATTATGATCAGCTTCCTCGTAGGGATTTTTCGCTCTCCAAGGTAAATGAGGACACCAATTTTCAACCTGAAAAATATAAATCAGAGACAGTAAGGACGCTGGCTCATCTGGAAATGAATTAATGTATATAAAACACACTGAGCACAGTTCCTGCCACACCATGAGCACTGTCTTTAAGCAGGTTATTATTATTAGTCAGAGTCCATGCGTTTAGCCAGCAATCCAGAGACAGGTGCCCTCTCCGACGAAACCCTAATCAGCAAAGGCCCCAAGGAGTATATGATTACACGTTACATCTGTCCTTCACAGGACTTCACAGGGACTGATTCCTTAATCATTTAATCCCCCATTTCTACACCAGGAGAGGCAGGTCTCACGGCAGAAAGTTAAAAGACTTGAACATTCCCTCCGGGGAATGAAAATGAGAGGTGCCTCTCTGACAATTTAGCAGAAGGACAGGAATGGTTTGTTATCTGCTGCGGCATGTCTGGAAGGGAAATCGCATGACATTTGAGCCACAGGACTCAGTCATTTATCTCAGAATTAGGATTGCAGCTGATGGTTTAAGGCTAATTGATCGTGGCTTTCCCTCGTTTTCTGGCTGTTCACTTCGCACCATCATAAGGAATAAGATGGTAAAAACTATTGGAGAAAGAGATGAAAGGAAAAAGAAAAAAGAACCCTCAACGATTTTGTGAGAGCCATTCTGGAAGATGGATTGTTCTGTCAATGCACAAGAGTTCAGAGAGCTGGGGAGGGGGAGGAAGAAAGAGAAAGGAAGAACGCCAGGTTTTATAGGAATCACTTCAACAAAGGTTACCAAAGAATATTGGGTGAATTCACAATTTCTAGTAAAGAAAAAAGAAAAAATGCATTGAGTAATACTGATGTCTGACCTTGTGTCAAAACTGACCATACAGCCCTGGCGGGCTTCTCAATGGTTAGCGCACCTGCCCAAGCACTGAAGGGTCTCAGGTTCAATTCCTGGTCAAGGGCACATCCCTGGCCCTTGTTGGGTACAGAGACAATCAATCGATGTGTCTTTCTCCTCTCTCTCTCTCCTCCCCCCCATCCCTCCTTCCTTTTCATTCCATCTAAAAAAGCAATGGAAAAATATCCTGAAGGTGAGGATTAACAACAACAACAACAACAAAAAGCCTGGCCATACAATTCTAAGATAGCATATCACCCATATACTAATACATAATGAGATTATTAAAGATAAATAATAAGCGGCCATTGAAAATAATGTTTTTCTCTGGCCAGGAGGACCTACAGAAACAAAGCAAAAGCAGGAGGGCGGGGATGTCCTGGGAAGGTCACTGAGAAAGCAGGAGCGTGTGAGACCACAGCCTCCTGGGCACCAGTAATGCAGCGTCAAACGAGATGGTGTCTTCCAGCTGTGGGTGATTCTCCAGGAAACAGTAGTTTCACTGACCTAGAAACTGTGCTTAACGCAAGGCAGCTTTTACTAAGACCAAAATAACTGGGTGGTTTGCAGGCAACCGGCTGCCTGCAAATGATCTGCAAGCGATAAGCAGAGGGCAGCGAAGCTTGGGGGAGGGTGGAATCCCTGGATAGGAAAAGTGCAATATTCTCTTTTCTTCTTGCAGAGTAAAATTAAGCTTTACTGCATTTATGAATGACTCCAGAGGCTCCGAAGGTCTCCCCAGGAGGAAAGCTAAAATGGTTTTTCTCATAAAAAAGGAAACACTAACTTGCTTTGGATGCCCATGTCTAATTACTGAGCCCTTACAGCAACATCACCATGAACAGCAATATCAGGAGCTCCACAAATGAGAAAAATGAGGGAAAACCAGCAGAAAAGAAGCGAGCAAGAGGATGAAGCCCGTTAGTCTGGTAGCACCGCACACCTCTGGCCTTGCATTGCTAGGCTAGACAAGATTACTTAGTTCAAGTTAAATTTTTGTAAATGGACTCAAAGAAACATTGCTATAAAGCATGTTTATAACATGAAGGTGTCGAATGGATTGCAGAGCAATCCTTCAACCCCACACTGAAGGACGAGGATGCGCAGGCAAGGGCACACATCACAGCCAACCTCACCCTGAGTGACTAATGTACACAGCAACACGTCGGTATAAAAAGATGAAACACAACTGTGAATAAAGAATATCAACCACAAGGAGAGACATTCGTGAGATCAGATACCGGTAAGGGGAAGTACATTCCCCCCTCACCCTTCTGCCCTAAGAAGAAGCTTCCAAAACTTGCTCTGATGAAAATACAGTCCAAGGTGATCTTCTAAAATATGACTTCCCTACAGAATACTTGAGGCTCTAATTCCTCTTGGAAGCTGGTCATTTATCTCAGTTCTTGTTGCTCTAAATGAGTGGATAATGCTCTGAACCGCTTCAAGGACAGCCTGGAAGCATGGGAGGTGGAGTCAGTCTATTTCGGCTTTTAGCAAGAAATCTCACTGTCACATGTTCATGGTCCTGGAGGAAAGCCCGATATGAACACCTTGACCCAGAATGAGGAAGGTGAGTTTTGAGGTGGTTGTTTTAGCACAGTGATAGGATAACTGGTTGAGAAGATAATTAAATCAAACATTAACCAATGTCTCCATGGGGTGCAGGGAGGGGTGGGACCATATCTTTCAGCAAGCTCAGAGGATGGCGAGGACTGGGAGGAAGCCAGCACTGGCATTAACTCCACGCGTGAACCAGCCCTCCCATGAGCAACCCTCTCCTAAAGAAGAGTCACTCATAACACTCAGGGCACGTCTGGCTCAAGGCTGATAACTCAGCCTCCCAATCCCTGGCTCCTGTCTGATGTACCCAGACAGCTTTCACACGTGTTACCCCAGCATAGCATCCTACCAGGAAAGCTGGACCCCAGAATGACCTCACTGCCTTCCTGATCTGGAAGCTCTTCTATTTCAAATCACTCTTATCCTCTCCTCTCCTCCTGTGTCTCAGAACCCCACTACTGTCCTAGGCCAGCCTGTGGTTTCTGCCTCCTTCCACCGCTGCTTTGGCCACACTGTCCCCACTGTGACTCCCGGTGCTCCCCGGGGACAGGATTGTGTATTTGCCCTCGGGGCAGGCACACAGGGCTGTGGTGCCGGACCCTACCACTGGCCACCCCACCCCTGCCCGATTCCCAGGCCTGGCAGTCTTGCCCCCTCTGCCAGGGTCAGGACCGTATATCCTTAAAATAGTCCACAAATCACCACAGTAAGTCCAAGACTTGAAAACCATCCGAGTTGGCAACACACAAGAATCAATTGAGAGGAGCACCACTCTAATAACCTTGGATTTGAAGACAAAGCTCCTTCCATGGAAACTGACCTTTTTAGTGCACTGGCCTCAGGCAACAAAATGAAGAGGCAGCAGAAACAGAAAAAGACCAGCCAGGCTAGACCTTAAGAACAGGAAGAGGGCCCCGTAAATTGCTTTCTCGAGAGAGGAGGTAAAAAATTTAACCAATTTGATTTTGACACCCCTCCTCCCAATGATTTAAACTTCTTTGATCTGAGAAGGTTTTGCAGCTTAATCATCAGCAATGTGAACCGAAATCCCTCAACAGAGCTCAGGTAGGTCACACGGTCAAGGTCTGTACGATGGACAATTCATTACACTACAGGGAAAAAAAGGCTGGTAGATCTGCACACAGCTCAAATTAGAATTTAAAGGGGGAAAGATGCAGTGAAATGACAGCAAGAAGTTGAGGAGATCTGACGTATATGCAAGTACTTAGGTAACTGGCATAACTCTTTATAGTAAAGTTCAATTCTTCTGAAAGAATAATGATCAGGCTCTATTATGGCTTCTTGTCTCGTGATTAATGTTAAGTGTTTTTGCTTTAATGGATCAGTGACATAGTTTCATGCTGTATTTTTCAGAGTCAAATGCAATCAAAACTAAATGAGAAAAATGCATGAGAAGAAGTCTGAGATTATCTCTGGATGATGGTGTTAAGGGTGCTTTTCATTTCCTTCTTTGTGCTAATCTGCATATTATGATTTTTACAATAAGAATTTATTAACAGAATAATTTCTAAAGGAGTTCTATTTTATAAGCATCCAATCATTTACTGAGGTTCACAGTATGTCAGGGTCTCTGGAATCCTATCTACACTAATAAAAGACAAAGATGCTAATTGACCGTACCTTCAATATGCCCAAGCCACTCCCACCAGCCAATCAGAGAGACTATATGCAAATTAACCCAACCAAGATGGCGGCCGGCAGCCACAGAGCTGGAGCAAGCAGGAGGCTTGGTTTCCCGGGCGATGGAGGAAGCCAAGCTTCCCGCCTGCCATGAGCCGGCTGTGGCCTCTGCTCATGGCAACAAAGTTTCAATTATAGAAGACAAATAAATCCCAGATACCTGCTTCCAGCCAGCCTCCACTGGGAGCTTGGGTGGCTGGGGGCCGTGGCCAGCCTGCAAACAACCATCAGCCCCTCACCTAGGATGGCCACACCCTCATGGGGTGAGAGTCCCCGCTGGGGGGCTTGGCCAGCCTGCAAACAGCAATCAGCCCCTCACCCAAGATGGCCACACCATCATTGGGTGAGGGAGCCCGCTGGGGGGCTTGGCCAGCCTGCAAGCAGCCATCAGCCCCTCACCCAGGCTGGCTACACCCTCATGGGATGAGGGTCCCTGCTGGGGGGCTTAGCCATCCTGAAAACGGCTCTCAGCCCCTCACAAAGACTGGCCAGGCACCCCAGCAGGCCCCCCCACCCTGAAGGGGCTTTGGCCAGCCTGAAAATGGCCCTCAGCCCCTCACCCAGGCTGGCCAGGCACCCCAGTTGGGACCCCCACCCTGAAGGGGCTGTGGCCAGCCTGCAAACAGCCATCAGCCACTCACCCAGGCTGGGCACACCCTCATGGGGTGAGAGTCCCGCTGGGGTGCTTGGCCAGCCTGAAAACAGCCCTCAGTCCCTCACCCAGGCTGGCCAGGCACCCCAGGGGGACACCCACCCTGAAGGGGCTGTGGCCGGACTGCAAACAGCCATCAGCCCCTCACCCAGACTGGCCAGGCACTCCTATATAGTAAAAGGGTAATATGCAAATTGACCCTAACAGCAGAACGACTGG